CCCCAGGAAGGAAAATTGGCAAAATAAGAAGGCAGTGGAGGACCAAATATTGGGGGTGGAGCAAAAGCAATAGGCATAGCAAGAAATGGACTGAAACTCGGAGGTCGAGGAGGTACAAAGCAATGAGCAGTAGGACGAGAAGGTAAACCGGGAGTACTGGAAGACAAAGCGAGAGGCCTCGGCCAATTCTCCACGGGGTGCCGGGGGCCTCCGGGTGGGAAAGAAACATGAGCCAGCCTTTCCTTGCCGGCCATTCTTGTATTTCCTGGAGGCAGCTCCATCATTACCCCTGATCTAACCGTGGGGATATGTGGGGGGCCTCTTACTTGTGGAGCCCTGGATGAAAAGAACCCCTGACCTCGTGGCAAAGCCATGTATAACCTTGCATTATAGCCACCTCTCTCGGTGCCCCCACTGCTGACCCTTGCCCCTCCTATCATCGGTGCGGGAGGGCTGCCAGAGAATTCCTGGGACACATTAATAGAATCCTGTCCCCTAAGCCTCCAGCCTGCCAGCCCCTCAGAGCTATTTACTTCTGCTGTTGCTAGGGCCTCTTCCGTAACAGCAGGTGGTGGCCCATAGGGGTGTTTGTGAGCTCTTGAACTGTCGACAGGAATGCAGGCTCCTGCTGTCTCGGAGGGGCGCTCCAGCTGCTCTCTCGCCAGGTCAGTCAGCACATTGAGGGGAGGTCTCTGCAGGACGCGATGGTGGCCCCAAGGCTCCGCATCATCTTTTGGCATGGAACTCGGACACTGGAGGGACACGTCGTCGGGGCGCGGCTCCCGCATCCCACACTCATCGGCAACTACTCCATTGGGTGAAGAGGCGTGCCCACCAAGGCTTGCAAAAATAGAAATAAATTAATTAATAGGAAATGCAGTGATCTGAGAATATATGAAATGTGTGATGGATTAAACTCGCTGGAATATACAAGGGGAAAGGGGAAGCCTATCTCCTCCCACGTAAAAAGTCAGCAAGCACTTTTTTAGCCCACGTTCACTGTACCAGGTGGCTTCTTTAAACAGACAACCCGATTTCCCTTTCTGGCTTTCTTGTGGCTCCACCCCATTCCCCAAGTCCCCACCTCCTCAAGGCAGCAAGGAAGCGGAGAAGACCCAGATAGCTGCATGCGCAGGCTTGCCATAGAAAACAGTAGCTTGGGGCGCCTGAGTGGCTCAGTCGTTACGTGTCTGCCTTCGGCTCAGGTCATGATCCCAGGGTCCTGGCATCAAGCCCCACGTCGGGCTCCCTGCTCTGCGGGAGGCCTGCTTCTCCCTCTCCCACTTCCCCTGCTTGTGTTCCCTCTCTCACTGTGTCTCTCTCTGCCAAATAAATAAATAAAATCTTTAAAAAAAAAAAAAAGAAAACAGTAGCTCTTTCTAGTCCCCCCGCCCCCGCCCCCGTAGGACCTATGATCCACTAAAGCCCAGCATTCAGATTCTGGCAGGAGTGTCCTGGAAAGTCTTGTGAGGAAAGACTTTTTTTTTTCTTTCTCCACAGAAGTAAAAGAAAGGTTATTTGTGTTAACAAACACTCCAGTTTGTTTGTCTCTCTGAAGCACCATTCAACATTTGCAACAGAATTTTGTTAAAATTTTCTTTCATTCAACCTGTACCACACCCTAGAGAACGAATTTCCTCAAGTTTAACACAACTATTTAGACTACGAATTTGCAACATTTGTTTCAAAATTACGTTTAAGAATTGCTGCCCTTAAATCCAGTATTTTTAGTACCTGAGTTTGTGTCTGGCAATGTATTGTCTGTGATCCCCTCCTGCACTCTCTCCAACCCACTCGTCCCTGTCCCAGTTACACAGAAAAACAATTAAAACTGCCTTTTGCCTTCAAAATTAAACAGTTCTACTCAGTTTTGTACTTACACATTTTCAATGCAAGCCATGGAGAAAGTTGATCAGGAAAACCTTCGTGAGGTGATGGAGCTGAATGCCCACGTAGGCCAATTCAGTCTGGAGAGAGGACTTGTGCTTCTGCCTTAGAGCAGCTTGGCAACTCGAGTGAAGCCAGGGACCAACTGCTTCTTTCTAGATTTGGAGTTCTCTTTCTGAGGTTACCAGTTGCTAGGGAAGGGAGGGAATAAAGGAGTGAGGAGGGGGAGGGGATAAATTTGTGACACTCCTTTGAAGCTAAAAGTAGAACTCCTTTTTGCATAGTAGTAGATGGATGGTAAGGGCATTCGTTAAGTTAACCCTGTTGCAGGCCAGATGGAAAGACAAATCATTTCAAGATTTTAGAAGAATCATGGAGGCATGGTAATTTATTAAGAGTTATTGCTAAAGTTTTAGTTAAGAAAGGCAGTTACCATGTCTTTACCTTAAGTTTACATTGAGCACTGTACCATGCCTAGTCTTGTAATTTAAAATTTCAGTTTTGAAGATGCATAGTTGGTGGAGAACAGAAGTTTATGGGGTTAAATTGGTTTTCAATCAGGCTCTCTTGTGAAGATGAAACAAAAATAGCGTTATAAAAAAATTACCCTAAAAATCATATTGGCTTTTATTTTTTAGTCCCTCAATTTGTGTTTTTTTCTACCTTCTAGTTTATTGGTTCTGTATGTTGGTGTTTGTGGGTGTGTCTGTGTGTGTGTTATATATTTCCTGTAATAGAGCTCTGTAAATATACATTTTTCCTGTAATAGAACTCTGTAAAACTTCTCTACAAGGGGGAGGGGGAATAAAAGGCATAACATATCATAAATGTATGAATATTAGCTCAGATTTCACCTTGTAACTTCTTTGCATAAGGCAATTTCTGTTTTCCTGCCTAAATTTCATCTTCCTCCTCCATTTTAAACAAGTACACTTCCCCCGCTTTTATTTTCTGCCATTGATGTACAGATTGATTGCTCTAAAATTACAATGGCCATCCCCTCAACTAAGATTACTAATCTTGCTCTAGGATAAAGCCATAAACTTAGCTCCCTTCCTTAAATTTACCTGAGAATTGCACTTTTCAGATGATACCTTCAAGACTTTAAAGTCTTTCTTTATTCCCAGTATCAGAATATGCTGTTATATTTCAAAGGTTATATAATTTTTTTCTTAAAGAAAGATAACAGACTCAAATACGATGTGTTTCAATTTGTATATGGAATATGCGTGTATGTGAGTGTGCATGTATGTGTGCAGTGGATAAGTATAAAATACTAATGCAAAGGAATGGTCAGTGCTGTGAAGCAACACAATTCATGATAGAAATAAACTTTTGGGTCTCTAAGTCCATATCTTGCTGCCAGGGTGCCTTGTCCTGGTCTGTACAGTACTGAGGTTTTTTTTGTTTTGTTTTGTTTTGTTTTAATCTTGTTGAAAGATGAAAGCGGCATGCTTCCAACATATGTCCCAGAAGAATCTGTTCACTTGCCTAGCATGGTTCACTATTAAGAAATTTCTTGATTCCCCAGCTTCGTTTATATTTTTCTTCAGTTTATTATTTCCTTGCTCTTTTACATAAGAAAAATCGTTATTAGCAATGTAATTGTGGTGGAGCAATAAAGCTTTCTTAACACTTGCTAGGTCAGAGGGATAAATCAACGTGGGCTAATGCTTAATAGGTGGTAAATCATATTTATGTAGTTTATGCTTTTTTTCCTGAATAATGGCAAGGAAGCCCCAGGAAACCCTTTTATGCCTACCAAACTATTGCAATGATGGGCTGGTTTACCTAGAAATGCCTGTTTAGTAAAAATATATTAATTGGATTACATAAGAGTGAAGTATAATATAGACATCAAATAGCTGGGCACTGTGACAAAGCCAATGGCACCAGAGAATTTTCCAAAACCATAACAGGTATTATAAATTTATGGATACTAGCTCAGATTTTGCCAACTTATTAGCTTTTGTGCAATGAATGTTTACTGAATGCCTCCTGTATTGACTCTTTGGTTCAGTGTGCCTTATAACACAAAGTTAAATATGCAGTTAATGGAGACTTCAAGGAATAGTCAGACTTTCTGGGGAGACAAAATAACATCTATAAAACAATCAAAGAATGGTATAAAAAATAAACACAACTCACTACATGGTGTAAACTAATACCACAATTAAAATTCAGAAGACAGAACTATAATTTTAGGTTAAAGTAGCTGTGAAATATTTCACATGGAAGGATCAATGTGATATACATGGCAGAAGAGGAAATGGTATTCTGTGTCAAGAATAGGTAATTAGTCAAGTTGTACCAATCAGGTTGACTCAATTTGAAGGCATTCACATTTTATAAAGGAAAAACTGGAATCATCTCAAAACCTACCTTTTGAAAAAAAAAAAAAAGCAGTTGAGCTACCTCAATTATCCATTGAGCTCTGAAAATGAAGTAGTAAAATGTATGGTTTTTTTTGTTTGTTTCTTTGAGTGATTGCTTTGAAGAGGGAAAAATGGGTAACGGAAGTTGAGGATTTGCCAAAAAGTAGCTTAATTGTGAAAGCACCTAAGATATAAATGCCTTTCATTACCCATGGCCTCTTATTTCATGACACAGCTCTAGCATCTCTCAAAAGGTTTTGAAGACTTTATTGAAATGCTAAGTAAGGACCACAGAAGGATATATTTACTTTTGCACAATAATTATGATGTCATTAAAAACGTGGTTGTACTGCCAAATCACACTGTTGGGTTTTTTTTCAAAGAAATTTTGCAGATGGGTATGTGTATAAGCAAAGTTTCATTTAAAATGCATCCTTTCTCTTTTACTTAGAAAAAGAATCCAGGGAATAGAGACATAAGAATGGCTTTCTCTGTTTTCATCGGGCTAATCAGGAAGTGATGAGATTGTCATGCTGATCTCTGGGGGACTGTTGTCAAAAGATCCCATCCGTTACTTTCAAAATGCAATGTAACTATTCTTGTGGAAAGCTCTGCAAGTTTAGGATTCAAAAAATACTTCTTAAAGATAGACCAGATATTTTTAAAGGTCTGTTGCTATTTAATTCAACAAATTTAAAAAAATGAGATTAATGAAAGCATGATATTTATTATCCCAGAATGGGTCAGCCAGCATTATTCAGTTGCACAACTATGAGCAGTACTCCTGTCCTCTCTGCCACCAGCTGTCCTGCAAACCCTATGTGGTAAGTGATGAGGATGAACAGGTGAGAGTATGGTTATTTCACCACCAGCACTTGCAAAAGCAACCAACAATATATGCCTCATTGCTGGACCTATTTGTATGAAGTTCAATAGACTGTCATTGCTTTTCTCAAGTTCTTTGCTCCAGATTTTTACAAAAAATTTAGTTTCAAATCAGGTATTTATGGCAGTTACTCCAAAACAGGTTATTTCTTTGTATAAATCAGAAGCTATCAGTTCCTTGAACATCTATCACTTTATTTTTTCTTGATCTCCTGAGAGTGAGAACTGGAAATTAAGTAGCAGTAGGGCAAACCAGATGAGAAAAAAGAAGGAAGGAAAAGGAAACCAAGTTTTTTTTTTTTCCACTTACTCTGTACCAGACATCTACTATATTTTGTCTCATTTAATATTCACAGAAAACTTTAAAGGCAGTTGTTATTATTATACCTATTTTAGAGATAATAATAAAGAGAGTTGGAGAAGTTGAGCATTTCTTTTCCTGAGGCCCCACAGCTAGTAAATGGCAGACAATATTCAGATACAGCCAATCTGACACCAAAGCCCATATTTTTCCATTTAACCGCATGGCTTCCTAATTGTAGTTGTAGGTGAATCACATAGGTGGCTCAGATCAAAACATGTGTACCAGATCTGAGTTTAGTTTATTTAATTCATGGATTCACTGACTCATCCTAAGGTAGTTCTGCAATAAAGAAATCATCCAAGCTACAATGCATCCCAAAATGCCTGCCTATGCAGGGATGCAGCCGGTGAAAATTAGGCATTTGATGGTACTATGGCAAGATGGTAAAGACTAAAAACCCTGCATGGAGCAACTGGGTTGGTGACAGAAAAAAATAAATTAGCCATAACACAGCACTGAGTGACCTTTACTAACAAACTAATTTTAATATGTGCCCAATATTACCAATATTAAGCTTAAATTAATGTTGAACTCTTGAGCTATAGGATTCTTCATATTTTTTCCATGCACTAAGATGAAACTGAGCCTATAATTGTGGTTAGGTCATCCACCTTCCAGTATTGGAGCAACTGGAAGAACTTAGAGTTAACTCGTGTGTGTGTGTGTGTGTGTGTGTGTGTTGGGTGAAATGGGGAGTAGGGTTGAGTTGTCCAAGTGAGCTATTAATGATAATTCTGGAGAATATCTTTCTGAATTAGAGATGTATTAATTTAAAAATAAAAGTACTGTACTTTTTTTTTAAGATTTTATTTATTTATTTGACAGAGACACAGCTAGAGAGGGAACACAAGCAGGGGGAGTGGGAGAGGAAGAAGCAGGCTTCCCGCGGAGCAGGGAGCCCGATGCGGAGCTTGATCCCAGAAACCTGGGATCATGACCTGAGACGAAGGCAGACGCTTAACCATCTGAGCCACCCAGGTGCCCCAAAAGTACTGTATTTTATGTTCACATTGGTATATATTATAAATTAAGATACAAACATAGACGAATATGTAAAACAAGGAAACTTAATGAAAAATGTTAGTTTACCATGGCCCATTAGACCATAAATCTATAATGATTACATATACATATATGTATTTTCCCCAGGTTAGAATTAATTGTTAAGCAATGGAGATGAAGGCATACTTAATTTCTTGAGCACTTGGTTTGAAAAACAAAAACTATTTTAGTTTCTTCTTGCTCGTAATTAAGGCACTGTAAATTCATGTTGAAAACATTTTATCAAACTTTATTAAAATGAATAATATGTGCCAAGTTGTTGAGAGCTTTGGTTCTGGGATCAGAGGAACACTGACCTGGTTTTAGGTCTCAGCTTTACAACTTACCAGTTTTGTGACCTTGGGCAGGTTTCTTAACTTCTCTGAGGCTCACTCTCCTCATTTATAAAGTGAGATTATAGGGAGAATTATATTAAATCATGTGTGAAAAGTAACTGTTATATACTAGGTGATTAAAATATAATCCCTTGCCTTGTACATACTAGACTCAGTTTTCTTATATGTAAAATGGGGAAGATGATACCTCTCTTAAGCTATCTCAGGGCAGTTGAGAAATTTAAATATGATAATTATGTGAAACTGCTTTGCAATCTGTAAATCACTTTACATATATTAGGCTAATGTAACCGTGGGTGATATTTCAGGGGCAAGAGGACTTTAGGGCACACTTTAAATAGCACTGTGTGGGTGGTCACCTATTCCACCTACACCTAAGGCCATTTTTTATTTCCTAAATCATTAAGGTGGGGAGGATTAGCTACACTATTTAAAAAGCCCCATGGTGTAAATACTTTAAACTTTTCAATTGGTGCTGCATAAATCTCACTCATTGTTGTATATAATGCAGTAGCTGTGTTAGAATAAAGAGTCTGCATTTTTGTATTTGACTATATGTTTAAGTGGGTTTTGGAATCTTGTGTTTCACAGCAGGAAATCTTGTTTTTCACTGAAATCTCCTGTGATGATTAGAATGAAAAGCCTGAAAAAAAAAAAAAAAGAAGGTTGCTTTGGCTTCCTGATAGTGAAGATTTGATTGATTCTCTGAACGATTTGCTACGTTAGAGAAAAAAATAGTTTTTCCCATTCCAGTTGCCCCCCCACCCTATCCCTCTCAAATGGTCAAATAAATAGGTTGCTGAAGAAAGTGTTAACATTTTTATAGAGTGACAGTAATTCAGTGTTCAAGAAAATTTGCTCATGAACTCAAAATTAAAATAATAATAAAGCCCATCCAGAGAGACCATTCTTAATTCTTGTCTGAATTATGCTGTGTACCTATGTTGTTATGCTTGTTCAGAGGTCCTGGATCATCACAAGTGCTGTGAGGTCATCTATTTGCCTTTATTTTTGAAGCGTTTCAGATCTTCCACTTTTCATTTTTAGAGTAATGAATTGATATGTGTGTTTATATAGGGGAAGAATTCATCAGAAGAAAAGATCAGACTGTGGGCCTGACAATGGGAAAGTGCCTCTTGGAAGATTATTAGCAGATAACAGGAATCTTACTCAGATATCAAAGTCTCAGCAGCCCTCTAATAATATCTGAACCAAAGTGATGAACCCTTCTAGAGGTACTGGGTCGTTCTGCATATGGCCAAACCAGAGCTAGTGGTGGTTTGGGCTATTGCACTATTTCAGGTAACCTATACATTTATTTATGTCTGTGGTTCCCAAATTTTACTGAGTAACAGATTCACTTGGAGATCTTATTAAAATAGAAGATTCCCGGGCTCCACGTCCAAGATTCCTATTTAATTGATTGTAGTGGGATCCAGTTATCTGCAGTCGAAATATTTACCGATTCTGATGTAGTGGTCTTCAGATCAAAACAGAGAAATACTGACTAGATGGTTTTATGGCCTTGAAGCCTAGCCTTCTGGGGATGAACCCAGCCTTCTAGTGGGCACTCTTATTCTCTAGGTCGAACCTACAGACCAGATATGGGAGCACCAAAACATAAAACTTTTTTTGACCATAACCAATGCCTCAGTTCTTGTTGTTCCATAAACCTCCAAATATGATTACTTTTGAACAGACGTGTTGAGTTTAGTTGATCTAGAGCAGCAATTCTGAAAGTGTGGTCTGGGGAAAATTAGGGCTATCAAGATCCTTTTGGGGAGTCCACAAGGTCAAAATATTTTCACTATTATATGAAGACATTATTTGCTTTTTTCACTCTTACTCTCTTAAGAGTAAATAGAGGAGTTTCCCAGAGGCTACATGACATGAGATGTCAGTGCTTTGATGACTAATGCATATGATGTAGGAAACATGTTAGGGTTCGAAGCCAACAGCCAAGAAAGAATTCTTGAGACGTCTTTGGTGCAAAAGGTGATTTTATTAAAGCACGGGGACAGGACCTGTGGGCAGAAAGATCTGCACCGGGGCCATGAGAAGTGGCCCATTAGATACTTTCAAGTTGGGAGGGGGTTTAGGGATAATGAAAGTTTCCAAAGAATTTTTTTTTAAGAGTTTATTTATTTATTTGACAGAGACATAGCGAGAGAGGGAACACAAGCAAGGGGAGTGGGAGAGGGAGAAACAGGCTTCCCGCTGAGCAAGGAGCCAGATGCGAGGCTCGATCCCAGGACCCTGGGATCATGACCTGAGCCAAAGGCAGACACTTAACCAACTAAGCTACCCAGGCACCCCTCCAAAGGAATTTTTATATGTTAAACTAGACTTACAGGATCCTGGGGGGGGGTTGTCAGGCTAGGGATTGCCTTTTGCCCTTAGAAAATATTAACATTGAGGCAGTTGAATCCCTAGAGAAATGTCACTCTGTCTGTTCCAAGGACTTATCAATGGGCTGTAGGTAGCAAGGAAATTTAATATTTTTTCTTCTGCTTTTGTTTCCCACATCACATATGTGCTTGTATATTCCTGTGTTTTAAATTTTTCTCAGTTTTAATTTCTAATATGGTGAATATTGACAGATATAACCTACATAAACAAAAATTCACTGTGGAGTTATGAATAATTTTTAAGAGTATAAGAAGGCCCATAGGGCACCTGGCTGGCTCAGTAAGTAGAGCCTGAAACTCTTAATCTCGGGGTTGCATGTTCGAGCCCCACACTGGGTGTAGAAATTGATGTAGGAAACAAAGGCAGAAGAAAAATCATTAAATTTCCTTACTACCTACAGCCCACTGACAAGTCCTTAAAACAGGCAGAGTGATATTCTTCTAGGGACTCAACTGCCTAGATGTTACTACTTTGCTAAGGGCAAAAGGCAACCTTAGCCTGACCCCCAAGATCCTGTAAGTCAACTTTAACATATAAAAATTCCTTTGGAAACTTCCTTTATCTCTAAACCCCCCAAGATACGTGTTGGCAATCATTCCCCAAACATATGGCCCACCGATATACATCTGAAGGGTCTCATGACTCAGATTTTTATTAGACTGTAATAAACGACTTTTTGTCAACAATAGCTAGCCCCCTCAAGGTCCTGGAAACCTTGCTTCCAAAATTCCTTAGAGACTTACACTATCCCTAACCCCCTCCCAACTTG